TATCACATCCCAAAGGATGGATATATATACATACATACACACATACACACACACACACCCATCCAGCATGGTCATCACCACTATATATATACATATACATACACATACACACACACACACACACACACACACGCACACACACACTTCTGTAGTTTATTAAAAATGTATCTACCTACTACAGATATGTACATATTTCTTTTACCATTATTAACTGGCTTTGTTAACAGCTATATATATTCAGCAGTTTTTAACACCTCACTCCTCCAAAATAAAAATGTATCTACCTACTACAGATATGTTTCTTTTACCATCATTAACTGGCTTTGTTAACAGCTATATATATTCAGCAGTTTTTAACACTTCACTCCTCCAAAAGTACTACGTATCCATTTCGTGCAACTTTTTCAAGGGGGAGGGGACGGACCCAGAGAAACAAGTACTGTACCTGACAAGAGAGGAAGCTAACATTTGATTCAATTAAATGTTTTTATTTCTAGGCTTTGAAAATGAAAATGCATTCTCACACTTGAAATACAATTGCAGAAGTTGTTTTACCTACGACTATCTTAAGGTTTTGATCCCATAGCTGTTGCCATGCAGATCTGTGACGCTTTAAAGACTAAGCAATGTGCTGTCAACTAGCTCCATCATCTGTTAAATCTGAAAGCATTCCACAGTCATTGAATCATAACCTGATCCTATGTGCTGTTCAGGACTGACTCAAGAGTCACAGCTCCTTTTATCAGTTTTATTGCTATGAAGAAATGCCATGGATCGCAGTCATATATGATTGGACTACTTCTACACATTCTGGGAAGTGCTGGAGTTAGTACTTCTTTAAAGCAGAGATGCCAGACAATAATTCCCCAAATCTCCCACCCAGCATGGTCATCACCACTAAAATATTGACTTTTTCAATATCTGAATATTTCTCGAAAGGTCCACTGTTGAAATTTTTTAAAAAAACCAAACATATCAGTAGGTTCCCTCAAGATCTTATATTTGTCTTTAGAAGCCCTTTGGATTCCAAGGCAGACATGATGTTCCTGTGAGTCGACATCTCAGGTACCTCAGGAGAGCCTTGTTTTTAAAAAGAAAACCCAGAGGGAATCAAGCAAGTGATAGAAAAGATGGTGGAATCAACGTTATTTCCCAAATGGTCATGGACCTTCCCAAACATTCAATTATATGAATGTTTATACGTTCCCTAAGTCGGGCCATATTCTTTATTTTGCTCATACAAGTGACCATTAAACACATGAAGACTTAACATTCTCAAAGACTGCCATCTCTCAAAAGATTGACATACACAGCTCAGAAGAAAATAAAATTTAAGGGGAAGCATTATCAGTATCTGTTGTGCAACACCACCTTATTTCTCCAACCAGTCTGATTTAATACTCCCTAGGGTCTGGATTTCTCGTCATAGTGCTCTATCAATTGGATTTATTTATTTATTTTGGCCAACTTTCTCACTTCCAGTGAAATGTTGTTGCAATGTGCCTTCAGGAGAACATTCTCCTGAAGATCAAGAGCAAGTAAATGCTCAAAAGCTAACAATGCAAACAGACTGCAGTATGCAAATAATAACTAGAGTTCCTGAAACATGGTGGCTCATACTATGTAAAAAGCAAAACCTCACAATACTGCTAAATTTCAAAACACAGAAATGTCTTTATTGTCCAAGATACATGCATTCAAATCTATTTATTTCAGATGAGAGGTAAATGCTTTTGACTGATAGTTAGAAACCAAGCATGCACAGTGCCCAGTTATAACTATAGACAATGATCTTTAACTTAATATTAGTGTTGAACAAAAGTGGCCTGGATGAGATATAAAAAATCTGAGAGGCCCAGGATTTTTAAAAGGATAGCAAATTCAAAAACAAGAGAGTAATGATTGCTTACAGAGAAAGCAGAAAATGTTGATATAATCTTTTTGGCAGGTCTTTTCAGAAGAAAATGCCCTGAATGCAGGAGAAGTACATAACTGATTAACGAAAGAACGAACATCCCAAAGCCAAAGAAGCATCACACTGCTTCCAAAACATTTTACAAGCTAGACCTCTCCCTAGTCTACATATTTATCATCCCATATATCCTCAAAATAACGGCACACACTGGGTTGTATGATCTGCAGCTCTTAAATACTTTATGAGGGTGAGGGGGCTGAGAGCTTGTTATCTACCTATTGTCAAGCCTGTTGTACCCACGCATGTTTTACCCACCCATGGCTATGTGCACAATCTATGTGTGTCCCAACTGGATTTTTTAGATTGAACTATGGTCAGAACCAAATGGGGTATTTATACCAATGGAGGAAGCCCCATCAGCTGACCCAAGAAGAGGCTATTTCCTTCCTCAACAAATGCCCACAACAAGATATTATTCCACCACAGCACTCTACATCATTCAAAATTTTTCGGGAGGTGGGTTTACAAGCCTTCTGGAGCAGACCTTGAAAGTATGTGAAGACTAAGTGTAGGAGTCAGCCTTCTGGATCCTCCTTCAATCAACACACATACCCAACTGTATGTTGGGTATGTGTGTTGGCTTACACTACTAAGAGATGCAACATGTTGGCTGAAATCCAACTGTATATGATACAGTGTTAAAATACACATGTAGAAGATCACAAGGATTTGTGCCCATGCAATCTGCACTGCATGCCTGACTGTCAAACTAAGTTGTACAATGGCAGCTGGAAAACTGCATGCTGGATGTGACTTCCACTTTTGCAGGAATTTCACAACCACCTGTGTGTCACTGAATTACGCAGGTGTAGGTATGCAACAGGATTTGCAATAGACAACAATGTCGGCTGTATCAATTTTGTAGTAGATACAACAATGGCTTTCTTTGTTGTTAACTGTTTGGATATTTAACTGTGAGATGATATATTAGAAAGGGACAGAGACTTTAGATTCTACTTGCAATCACTGTGGCCAAATGTATTATCTCACAAAGTTTCCATAGGGAAAAAATCCTGTTAGCCTTCTTTCTCTACTTTACCAACAGAAACAGGACCTCATTTTCTCATTTAAGACCTACTGCTCTGAGATGAAGACAGCCAAAGAAACAACTTATAGAAACATATCTGTCATTCACAATAACTTTTAAAACAAAATACAATCCTGTAATAAATTCTATGGGTTTTTCCTGTTTCAGCTTTTTTTTTTCACTGAGGTCTGAGATGCGAGGAAGGGACTAGTAAACAGGTCTAGAACCAAAAATACATTGTGAAAGAGCAGCATTTTTTTTGGGGGGGGGGAGGAAGTAACAATACATTAGAATAAATTAGAGTAAAGTGTTAATGTTCTACTAAATGCAAATAACTTTTTGCTAATCTTGTACAAAAAGGTACTATTGATGCTGCCATAAATTTCTGAAACTTAACTAATTTATACACAAAATAAAAATACAATCCTGTAATAAATTCTATGGGGTTTTCCTGTTTCAGCTTTTTTTTCACTGAGGTCTGAAATGTGAGGAAGGGGCTAGTAAACAGGTCTAGAACCAAAAAGACATTGCGAAAGAGCAGCATTTGGGGGGGGGGGGGGGGGAGGAAGTAACAATACATTAGAATAAATTAGAGTAAAGTGTTAATGTTCTACTAAATGCAAATAACTTTTTGCTAATCTTGTACAAAAAGGTACTATTGATGCTGCCATAAATTTCTGAAACTTAACTAATTTATACACAAAATACTAATTTCTGAATAGTACTTTCAAAATACAGTACTAGAAAGTAAAAATTCTAGCCACTAACAAAAAAAAGTAATGCCAGATATGTTTAGTCTAGAGCAGTGGTTCTTAACCTTGGGTAACCCAACTGTTCTTCAACTGCAATTCCCAGAATCCTTCACCACCAGGTGTACTGAATTATTGTTCATATAGGGATACTGATCAAGAGGGAGAGAGGCACATATTTTGAATTGGTTTATCTTGGAAGTTTAGACCCAGTTATGGAAGACATCACAGCTTGTCTTTCCAAGGCTCTCTGATCTACAAGAAAAGGCTGGGAACAACTGAGTGCTTAAAAAGAAGCAGAACTTCAAGAGTTACCTGGATGCATTACTGTCCAATTTGCTTATGACTTGCACAATGCAGAAACATAAGTACAAGATGGCACGACACAGTGTTTTATTCCACTCCCTTGTCACATCACTCCTCCAGCCCTCACATCCTGAGTTTACTCCATCAACAGAGCATTTTCTACATGTTCTGAAAAGTCCTATTCAGATACGAACACATTAGGATTCGCTTGCCACATGTCAAGGGGAGTCTTGAAGCCCTGCTCCCTCCATCTATTACCTTCCTACATGTGGAAGGTGAAGAATCTGGAGAGGCAGAACTCTGCTATTTATGGAGGTTCTCCACATGAATTAGGACCCAGGGTCCCGACTCACAGACAACAAAGTTCTCCTTTCTCACTTAACTCCTTTCTCTTGTAGGAATGTAACATAAATGACAATAGGGGTCAGGCCTACAGGTTTTCCCCTTACATATGAATTTACCGTAATACATAATGCCTGAATAAGGTTAAAGGCACCCCAAAATAAAACTTCTCTCTCAATGCATGAGGGGCTAGGAAGAACCAGGTAAGATTTGTTCATCTAACCTGAACGCAAACCTCACAGTTCTTTCGTACTCACCTTGATTCATGCCTCAGGTAGTGACTGAATATAATTTATTTCATGCTACTCAATGGCTTCTCTTGGAAGGGTTTTCACATACATATATGTATGCAAATATATACGCATACGTACAAGCGCGTGCTTGCAAAAAGAGGTTCTTTGCACAAATGCACTGCCGGGGCATGACAAAAGGTGTGACTTGTGTCTGTATACTGTACAGTCCCCAGAAAGCCAATTCAAAACTGGCAATTTGGTTCTAGTTATACGAAACGTTTCCCCAGGCATGGATACCTCAACAAACTAGTAATGCTGGCTCATTAAGTCATGCCTTGTTTTTCTTGAGGCGTGGGAGATAATAATACCTTTCTTTCATGATTCCTTGGCCCACCCGAAGCATTGTGCTTGAGGAAGCCTGCCGTCGTGGACCATCTTGCGGGGTTTTTCCGCGAAGGTTCTTCTGAAGTAAAATTATTATCGCTGACCGATGTTGAGAGACCAACTAACGCCGGGTCACTGCTGCGTCGTACATGAAGAGGCATGTCTGAAAAGACAAAAAGCAAAAGATGTTCAGATTTAAGACCTTTCTTCCTTTCCCAAGGAAGCAAGGAAACGTTCAGCCCTTATTTCAAGATTAAAAAGCTGAGTTTGTCTGAAACCAGCATGATGGCACAATATTGGAAGGATCTCTAGTGAGTTGTCTGTAGCAATCAACCTACCGAAAGAACAAAAGAATGAAATATTGGAAGGATCTCTAGTGAGTTGTCTACAGCAATCAACCTACAGAAAGAACAAAAGAATGATAATTTGTGTTAAAGGATTCCTAGGGAATGCTCGTTCAGCAGTCCTTGAAAGAACACACTTTATGTTCTTCAGCTTTTCTAGAACCGTCATCCTTAAATCTCAGCAGCCTTTTCTAACGAAAATGTTCCGCCCCAAAATAAGAATACTAACCTTTCCTACACATGAGAATGACTGATATAACACACCCGAAGTAGTTTTGAGTATTTTGAGTGGTTTATGACCCTTCTTTCAAAGCAAAACTGGGGGAAATCATACAATCCAAGCTTCCAAGGACGTTGGCTCATCCATTGCAGATTATTTGCACTACAGAAGAATACAACTTCTAAAATTATCTGATGCTGGTGGTTTTTGGAAATTAAAGACTAACACCCCAGGCCCTGAAAAGCTTCTCCATGAAGGCAGAGATTCCATTGGTGCCTTGGGGCCTTCACTGGTGGATGGAGAGTCAGAAATATTGTATTTCCAAAAGATCGCCACAGCTAATGATGTCATCAGCCTTGCATGGTGTAGCTGCTCAAACAGGATTTCAGCCATGTTACTTTTCAATGTAACTTCATTACACTCCAGTATTAGAAACAGTATCCAGTTCATATGGAGATAAATTGCAGCCTCTTACTTTCTAGGCCTGGTTATTCTCAACGTTCGCTTAAATGAATAATTTAACTGCCTTGACAGCGTGGTTTCAGCATAATGCAGAGGTTGCTGATATTTACATCTGAATGGAGCAGGAGGATATATCTTTTCTCCAAGAGATGAACATCAAATTCCTTAGGTTCCTTTTACATAGTAGCAATCAGATGTCTTGATCAAGACAGAAAGTCATATTGTACCTGGCACAGAATCAACAAAGCACCATGGTTCCAACCATAAGAATTTATATAGGCTAAGGATATTGCTATGTTGAATATTTGTTTAGCAGCATGACTTCCTGCCTTTAACATCTCTTCACAAAAGGCAGCACCCAAGAGATCCAAAAAGCAGCTAGCATGCTATTGGGAAACAGGAAAAATAAGTAAAAATGAAAAATGCATTTTATTTTCATTAGCCCGTCTCTTTCCTCTGCTTAAATACCATACATTTTTATTCCATTCCAAGATGTTCAACAAAGCAAAGCATTAGAACAAAGCATTAGAAGAGATATGTTTCCCACTAATGAGGCAGAATGTAATATAAAAATGGAACAAAAGTAATTAGAGATATATATCAAAAAGTATCTTTTATTTCTTTCATAAATGCACACAGTTTATGCGCTTCAATGAGGTTTCCAAGCGTATTGAGCAGATTTACAAATTAGAATGACCAAACCCCCAATTATAAGCCTGTGTTTTTCAGCCCACATTTCCTCAAGTTGACTGACCTGGAGCTACGGTACGGTCTTCTTGACCAGTTAAGTGCCAATTCCCTAGTAGATTCATAAAGACTTTTCACACTGATAGTCAAGCATTGCTCAGAAACAGTGTCTTGACTATAATTCTCATGTTGGCTGCAGGTTTCTGGGAAAACCTGTGCACCCATTTATAAATTCTCTTGTCAACTGAAGGCAAGGATTTCATCAACATCCTTCACTGTGTGCCCCACTCTTACATCTCAGAAAGTGGACTTGTCCATGAAAGCTCTAATTAAAGTATTGCCGTTAGTCTTTAAGGCACCACAATTCTTGGGCTTCTTTATTTTTTTATTTTTCTTCTGTTTTTGCTTGATATGCTAGCACAAACGAACACGGTTACCTCTTCTAAAACTAACCCCAATTTTTATTTAATAAATTATATTGTTCATGACATAATTTTAGTATTGAGGTTAACAGATGTTTATAATTCCTGTTCTCTTTTTTAATTTCTTTTATTCCCCTTCAAAGCAATCTATGCAGTAACTATTGCTAAATGCTGTGTCCACATATATGTGGCGTACAAATAAATGCACTCTTTTGCTTAGGCTGAAATTACTGCCTCTTTCACAAATGATGACCATTTTTCTTAGTATAATGTTTTTTTCTAGTCAATGGTGACATTTTTTAAAACTAAAAGCCACCCATACTTTGTCCGAAATCAAATTTGTAATCCCAGCAATGGAAGATCCACTGAGTCAATAAGATTCATGTGAATGTTAGCTTACCATTCAGCAACTGATTCAGTGAGTCTCATCTAAATAAAGTTGGGTATTTTGTTGAAAGATAGAAAGTATGCCAACCCCCTTGATTATTTTGGTTCACTTTTTATTGGACATTTTCCAGCTCTACAAAAAAATGTTCCAATCTAGGAATGACCAGAACTATGCATAGTACTTTCTATGTGATTGCACCAGAGATTCTGATACTATGAGACTAGATATTTTACTTCCATTCTTTCCCCTAGCAATCCCAAATTAATTTGTCATTTCAGCTACACCGTCATGGCCAAAATCCTCTGGCATATGCTATGCCAATATAAAGAAATGAAATGACCTGAAGTGGCAGATTGCCACCAGAATTCCTGGCTTTGACTCCTCAATGCCCAGGCTGAATCTCATCGTGTGAGAGTTGGCTGCCTTTACATATAACCCAGAATCAAAGTGGGGACACAGTAATTACCAGCAATCCAATTCATGCTAGAATCCAAAAGGGCCGTTGTCTTACACTGACATCATTTATGAACATGACCCATGAGTTATTTACCACAAGCCCCAAATCTCTTTCATGGGTAAGCATAGATGCTATCAGTATATGCTGCATTAGAAGTTTTCAACCTGTGTTCTGTGGATGGGCTCCTATGAAGTTAGGTGAAGCCAGACCTAGCTAGGCTTCAAAGCCTTTCAATTTAGGCCTTTCTCCCAGATAAGTCACACTTAGATGTCTGTTAGGCTGAACTCCCAAAATCGAGAATTATGGGATTTATGGTAATAATAATAATATTTTTTAAAAAATCCCATCCCTAGCAGTTATAATTGAAAACGGAAAGCAGACAAGTGAGCTAAAGAACCCAGAATACAGATCCAACAATGGAAACATTCCTCTACTACGATGAACCAAATATCTGAATCTGCACCTTGCTAAGTATTTTTGTTTTATCTGTCTGCCTATGTATCAAAAAAAAAAAAAAATCAAAAATAATGAAGCCAGTAATAACACCCTCACTGATTAGCTTGCGATTTTCCAAATCTCATTGTAAATTCCTTTAACACAGAAGTCAGTATAATGAGACACTTAAATACTGATTCCCTGCTTCTTTTCATGTGCTGAGAGAACTCAGCAGATTTACACACGTGGCTAATGAGAAGATATGGCATGAAACCTCTGTCTGCTGCCAGCGTGAAGTCTACCCCCAGTCTGAATCTATATTCAAATGTCAGTGATTAGAGCTAATATCCATACTTTACCAACAAAAGTCAATCAGGATGCCTAATTGCTAAAACATATCTGAAAAGCAATTCAACATTTAAATTTTAAAAAAAAACGGGGGAGGTATTCATTGCTGTTTGATTAAGGCCAGGATTATAGAAACATATAGGTGTATATTTGCTGGTATAGCTCAGTGCGTCTGCAGGCATGCAGGGGGCATGGGTTTGAATCTCCATAGTGCCTTCTAAAAAAAGTCAGTGAAGATCACCAGCAGCTATGAGGCGTTTGATAGGAAGTATTGTAAATGCCCTACCACCTGTGCAGCCTTGGGCAAACTGCATGATTGCTGAGTGCCACACAAAGGAAGGAGAGGTAAGTGACTTCTGAATACTTTATCACTAGATAATCTTGGGGGACTCTGTAAGTTGGAATCAATATTATGGGTGCATATATGTTTATAGAAGGGACGTGGTGGCGCTGTGGGTTAAAACGCAGAAGCCTCTGGGCTGCAAGGTCAGAAGACCAGCAGTCGTAAGATCGAATCCACACGGTGGAGTGAGATCCCATCGCTTGTCCCAGCTCCTGCCAACCTAGCGGTTCGAAAGCATGCAACTGCAAGTAGATAAATAGGGACCACCTCGGTGGGAAGGTAATGGTATTCCTTGTCTAGTTGAGCTGGCCACGTGACCACGGAAATTGTCTTCAGACAAATGCTGGCTCTACGGCTTGGAAACGGGGATGAGCAACGCTCCCTAGAGTCAGACACGACTGGACTAAATGTCAAGGGGAACCGTAACCAACATAACCATGTTTATAGAATGCTGGCTGGCTGGCTCCTTGAGTTAGGTCGACTAAATGTCAAGGGGAACCTTAACCAACATAACCATGTTTATAGAATGCTGGCTGGCTGGCTCCACGAGTTAGGTCTCTGGCTGCGAAGCCGAGGTTGGGAGTTCAATTCCCCCACTGTGCCTCCTACAAATAAAGCCAGCCTGTGTGGCCTTGGGCAAGCTGCACAGTCTCAGGACACCCCCAGAAGAAGGGAATGGTAAACCACTTCTGAGTGTTTTCCACCTAGAAAATCCTGCAAATGGCTGCCATAAGTCAATACTGATTTGATGGCATACAATTATTAATTATTATATATTTTTAATCATACCCACATCATCACCTCCTCCTCTTTCAATAAAATTGGTTTGACAAAATTAGACTAAAATATTCATCTGAGTCATTCAAAGTACCAGCACTTGCAACATTTACAATGGTTATTATGCCCTCCTACCTTCCCCATTCCACTTTTCAAGGGAGGGGGGACACTGTTTGGATTCCCTCCTGCTCTCTGCCTGCAATTATGTTTATCCAAATGGGACTATATAAACATTAGAAAAGAAGTAGTGAAAATTTTCTCCCTTATTAAAAGATAATTG